AACAAAATCTAATAGTTTTATGCAATACAGAATAGATTATGTTTATCAGATTATTTTTAATAGATTAACACTTTTGTTAATATTAGGATTTAGAAGTAAGTAACAACTGTACATGCATCCAGTCCTTCACGGTTACTCTCAGTCTGGTGTTGAGGCCTTGGATGTGTTAAATATTCTTCCACTGTTAAAACAAAAGTTAAATGGAGAAGCACATCATGTAGATTTATAAAAAGTGTGTGGTTCAGCTGGTTTTAGTTTGTGCATCACCAATGTGCTTTAATTACAGCTTGAAAACATATCAAACATACACTATACACATCTGTTATACAGTACATGCATATTCAACTAAAAAATATAGCCAAGGACATTTTAATTACAAATAAAATTGCTTTATTGTTTTCCTTACATGTGTAAGGCAAACCATATTTTCTATTTAACACAATATTTTATGCTTTTTTATCAATTACAATTTCGGGGAAACAATGTCAGTGGAAGCATAAGTCAGTGATGGATAATACCTTTAATAGCTTGCTCAAAAACCACAATCATCTTCAGGACATCAATAAACAACAAGACAGAGGTCCATTTCAGGTACTCTGTCAATTTTAACAAAAGTGACTTTTTATCAGCACATAAGAAGCAGAATGTTACGTTCTTATGACTAAAAATAAAAAAAGAGAACTGTACCTTTCTCTACTTCCAATATGATAACTTGAAGATAAATCGTCAGGATGATACCCAGCAAGGAATATATTATACCCAATAATGTTATGCGTCTAGTGGGGAGACCTGTTAATGAACAGATTTAAAAAACTTTTGTTGCAATTCTTATGCATATTTTTCTCCAAAATTGTACATGTGCCTCTTCCTATGATAGGTCAGGATTTGATGTCTATGTGTGTCCTAATTCAAATACTTATGCACTGTTACATGCTATTTATTTGATTACAAATGTTACAAAGTGTTAAAGACTTGAATGAAATGCTGGTACCCATTGACTTCCATAGAAATAATTTTTCCAGCATTTTAAAAACATATTCTTGTGTTTAACAGAAGAAATTCATACTTGAAGTTAATATGGTCATATTTTCAACTAAGCATTTTTAAATATCATCACAAATGTATACATACAGTACAAAACTTACATTTGAAGACAACAGAAAGAAACAATACAATTAAGCCATTGAAAAGCAGTACCGTCCATACAAGCACCACAATTTGAAATGCTGGAATAAAAGAATAGAAGTCTATTATTTTCACATTTCAAACAAAATCATAGACTACTTCATAATTCATCTGATTATTAAGTAAACAAATTTAAAAAAAAGTTTAAAACAAATGTAATTAGTGTCTAGTGGTGGTTTTATTTTGTATGACAGTCAATATACGATAAGTTTTAAATGAATTACTTAATGTGCAAAACAACATAAGAATATGGCATCTTTACAAAATATATAACAACAGTAACGCATAGAATCCAAGGATTCAATTCAAGGGAATTACCTCGATTGGGGATTTCAATTCTTATTAAAAAAACGAGCCCGAGCCATAATGCAACAGGCAAAGGCAAAACACCATGAAGACATAATTCCTTCAATCTCAAAGGAAACTCCATTATATCCAGTTTAATTTGTGGTAAACTACTCATGAGCCACTCAAATTTCTGCATTATTGTGGAAAGCAGTAGTTCGCCTAAAAACAAATACAACAAACAAAACTGTGCATCTTATTGCTGTCTTTAATAATATTTTTTTAACAGCTGTATGTATGCATGAATGAATAAATGCATTTAAAAGTAAATGATCAAAATGCTTACTTGCACTGACCAACAGACAAATCAGCACAACAATTCCAAAGAGCATTGCAGACAATACCCGATCAGCTTTATCATTTAGTTCAAGTGCTCTCCTTGTCCAGTTATGTGCAAAAACAACTACAGAAATACATACAAAATAAACATGAACGCATTTGATATGTCCTACAAAAGAAAAGACAGATATTTAAAAAGTGTAGATCAGTGTTGCCACTATTTACTGATTAAAATGAATCAGTCCATAAATAAAATAGATAAAATAAATCACGTTAATTTAACCTGTACCAAGGGGGGAAGAGATTACCTTAAGCACAACTTGTTACTAAACTACTGAAATGTATTTATTACGTTATATAAAAGGCACATGGATTGCTCAGGTGAGATTTTTTTCACAAACTTTTACAGTGTCAAACTCTTTATGGTTCTGTGGGTCTCGTCTATCAAATCTGATCTTTATTTTGTATTTTCTATTGGATTCAGCATTTGAGAGATTTCTTGGCTGTGTTTTGGATCATTGTCTTGCTGAAATGTCCACCCTGGTTTCATCGTCATCCTCCTGCTAATGTAGATGTTGGACTGAGGCAGCTATTATTCATTTACAATAAGGAAGGGCAGAGGGTTGCTGAAGAACTACTGAGAGATTTCAGCTGCTGTCTGGGCTTTCCATGTCTTTCTACACCTCCCTTTCTTTACGTTTTCAATACAATTTACCTGTGTTGTTTCATTTTATTACACCTAACTTCATTTGTAAACTAATTAGTTTTGATTTCTTTGCAAATATGAATTTCTTTGGTTGTTACCAATATATATTTATTTGTTATTTAAATGTCTATTTCTAAAGGTTGCAGTAAAATCTTTGGTCAATTAAGAAGGCGTTATGGCTTCAAAAATAAATGAATAACCCCTCTTGTTTCTCTCAGTCTCAATTACACGAAAGTTTAGTAAATTAAGAAATGTCACGAAACATAATAATTTACACAGTTTATTGTTTACTTAATTAATCAGATCCTTTTAACATCATTATCCAGTGTTACCCACCTGAATTTACTCTGGTATTTGTCAATTGTGGGGAACATTTTTATATATTAGATTATTGATATTAGACAATATTTTTATATACTTTATTAATTTATTAATCATTATTAAAAATGGTAATAGTAATAAAAGCAATAATGACTGGAGTAGTAATTACATTTGAAATTACATAAAGTAAGAAAGCAGTTATTTAAAATTTGAAAATATATTTAACAATTTTACTTTTTTTTTTGCATTTAATAAATGCTGCCTTGATAAACAGAAGAATTTTCTTCTTATTAAAATAAATAAGTAAATAAAATATATAAAAACTTTTTTTTTTAAACATAACCCTAATCTTTTGAACAGTAGTGTATACAATTTTTTTACATATTCAATGTTTACTGGTCATCACTATCATGATTTTTTGTTCTCAGATATTGTTTCAATCTAATTAAAAACAAAATGAGTTTACTAGTATTATTACAGTAGATATTTGTACTACTAACCACATGATTACTAACATCAAAAATAAAAGCCTTTTCTAGTCTGAATTGTTTTTCTCATTTGCAAATACCAATAAATCAATAATTAGAATATTACTAGTAAAAATGTAAAATAATTATATCAATTATTTAATAAAACTTATGAAATTGAATTGCTGTAATCAATATTTAACATTATATTGTTTATTTCTGATATCTAAAAATGCATTTTTGATATACAGCTATAGAGCAATTAATTTCTGATATCTAACATTACTTATTTTACAGGTGTCAAATCCAATTCCAGAAGTGCCGCAGCTCTGCACTGTTTAGTTTTAACCTTAATTGAACACCTTATCAAAATAATTGAGTCCTTCAGTTGTTGTTTTTTTAACTGGCAAGTATCAGAGTTGTAGCAGCGTTAAAACTAAACTCTGCAGGGCTGTGGCCCTCCAGGAACTGTGACTTATTTTACTAGTAACAATCACATTCATGACATCAAAATTAAACAGTCACCAGCGACATTTAAATTTTTGATATCAAAAACTAAGTTTACTAGTAAAAATGAAATATGGGCATACATATTAATAATCCAGTGTGCAATTTAACAGTATGTACTGTGTTCTGATTGGCCTGTTTTTCACTGGGATTTTATGATCACAGGAGATAAATGTGAACAAGAAAAATGGCTCATAGTGTGACCAATCCTATGCACTAAACTCTTATTATTTAGTTATATCCAGATTTACGCTATACATGGCACCTTTATTGAGAAATCATTAAGTGACATCATTACCATCATATGATCTACATTGGTGAAATTGAGAAAATGCATATTGTTAAGACTTACATCTTATTATTGTGAACTGTCACTGTTTTGGAGCACACTAGCTTTCTTTAGACTAGAAAAAAGCTTGATTCTGATTTCACAGGACCTTTATGGCTCATTTCCACTGAGCGGCATGCTTCGATACAGCACAGCATATTTGCATTTAGGTTTAATTATGTTTCCACTGTCAGAAGCTCAGTTAAAAATAAATAAATATACTGTTTTTGGTACCCTTTTGTAAGGATAGGGAACCAAAAGGATGAAGCTAGACTCATTGTTGAATGTTATTGGTTTACAGACAATCATCACTTGCACATGCAACAAAGGAAACAACAACAACACAAGAAGCACCCAAAACACAACACCGTAATACAGTGACAGTATACAGAAAGCATACTTCACATTTGAAGTGATCTTGAGTGCGTCAAAGAAACGATAAGTGAATGGTCCAAACAACAAAATGATGTTGATCACTACTCTGACACATACTACATCTACCAAGTAAGAGAACTTAATACAAGCTTCATCAGGGTGACCAGAACAAAACCGCACTGAACTGTGCTGTACTATACCATACCGCTCAGTGGAAATAAATAAATGACTGAATTCTGAACAAACCTTCTGTACCAGGAGGATATCAGGTTAATACAATAAAGCACATGTTAAGGAAGATGGCTTCTGTTGTTTGAAATGTGGATTTACTTACCAGAATAAACAATGAGAAAGAAAACATGGAACACATGCATCATTTTGAAATAACGGATCCATGGTTTAAGGTTGTCTGTACACAGAAAAAAAAGTAATACATCAACAATACATTTAAACACAAGTGTATTATGTTCTTCTTGTCTCAACTCTTCTATGCTCCTGATGAGATAATATTTTCATTAAAGAGACCAAGCTTCCATGTCAGTAACTTGTCAAAAACCCAAAAATCTGACAAAATCAATTTAAGACTATTGCAAAGAATCTGATCAAAAAATAATCTGTATGGTTTAAACAAAAACTTGCTGTTTCAAAATTCATTACTAAGTGTATTTAAATGCAATAAAATTCATCAATAATAATGTAATGCGAAGTCAGGAAGCCAATTACAATATTATGCACTTACTGATCTCTTTAAAGACAATTTACAATAAAAACATACCTTTAAGATACTTCAAGAAGGGCAAAGCCCAGATCAAAATTGCAGGCCTCAGAATATAAATCGCACTGCAAATGATCGTCTCATCCAGAAATCCTAGAAATGCAGAAATAGTATTTCATTTTGACCAATAGATGATTATTGACAAATAATTGTGTAACGTGAAAAGTCAACATTTGAGAAAACAAACACAAAAGACAGCAAGAAGAACAAAATTTGAAACAATATTATCATCGCAGCTTTCATTTATTTACTTTAATAAATTATTAATGTTATATAAATGAAAGTAACCAAGTCCATTATTGCACTCACCTTCAATAAAGCCCCAAAAGATGAATGCAAAGCACATACAGATATTTGGAAAAAGGACCAGAGAAATCTGAAAATTCCAGATTAGGCTGCTGGTAACTTGAGGAAAGATAAAAAATATTTCCAGTTAAATGAACAAAACACTTACAGTGGCACATGCAGTGTTTATGACAAGAATAAAAGAGCAATGCCCTTCCAGACACACCAGTGTTTTTATATCTGCAGTAGATCAGACAGCAGAGCAGAAGTACAGCTCCAGATCCAGCAGCAACACAGAAAACCAGCACAACTATGTGCAAAGAAGAGAAACCTGCGAAAAAAAAAAAAGACAATCACACACACAAATCAACTTTAATTGTCCAGTCATTGTTTATCCTGAAGGTATATCTGGAAAGATTGTAATTTTTTGTAATTCCTTATTTCAATGACCTGTTGTGACCATTATATTTGGTAGCTAATTACACCATATCAAACCATGTATTTGCTAATTATGCATCGTGGTAGATTTTCTTAAATACAAGTATAAATATCATCAAAATTGTCTTGTTAACACAAGTGACAAGAGAAGTCTAGTATGTTTCATTTCTCACCCAGTCTCTCCAGCTCTACAGTTGCATTAGCTGATAAATCTCCAGCAAACACTTGACACCTGTAAACTCCTTTATCCTCAGTTCTGACACTTTTCAGTCTGAGAGAGAAGTTTCCTTTGGAGATTTCAGCAGTGAAGAACTCAACTCTGCCTCTGAACTGTTCAACTGATGAATCTGGTAAAGTCTCATTGTTCTGATACAGCAGAACCAGAGAATCTCCATCTTCATCTGTTTTCAACCATGAAACCTCTTCAATGTGTTCAGGAGTGATGTGAGAGTCTACAGAGCAGTTCAGAGTCACGTCCTCACCAACATATGCAGAAGCAGGACGATTTGATCCTGATACTAACAAACGCTCTGAAAGAAAAATAGAGAGATTAGATAAAAAAATTCAAACTCAAATATAATTCACCAGAATTTCACTTGTGGCTCTCACTCACCAACATCTTTTATCTGGACCACAGTTTCTCCTTTATTCAGCTGAATGAAAACTCTACACCTGTATTCTCCTTCATCTTGAACTGTCAGATTGTCCAGACGGAGGGAGAAGTTTCCATGTTGAATCTCCTCAGTAAAGAAATGAGCTCTATCATGATAATCCTGCTGCTGGACCTCTGCTCGACTCTCTCCATCTTGATACAGATGAATCAGAGTCTCTGAGTCTGCTCTTCTCCATTCCACCTCCAGATCCTCCATCAGCAACTTATTATCAATATAACAGGGCAAAACCACTGAAGATCCCAGAGGAGCAGACAGAGGAGCAGAGGGACCATGAACAACGAAGCCTATCAAGACAGAAAATTGATTAATGTGCTTATGGAAAATAAACGTGGCAGGAAATCATTAACTATTTTTGTAAATATATATTTTTTCAGAACAACAACAAAAAAGTAATAATAATCTCAGTGACCATCAAAAACATTGACATAAAAATGCAGGCAAGAAGCTTTATCATATATTAAAGATAAATAAAACAAATCCTATCATAAAGTATCATGACAGAACTGTTCCACAAGGGTTAACGATTTCATCAAAAAAGAAAGTTTCACTTTCGTTTTTGGTTTGAAGTTTGCTTACTTCAGATTTCTTTTAATCCAAACGGTAAAAAAAAAACAGATAGTGTTGAAATTGCTCCGTGTATTGTGGCTGACAATATGTAAGACCAACACAACATTTCATATACAAGAAATTACAGGACAACATTATAAAGAAAAACAGCAACATTTGAGCAACATTCTCAACATTCTGTAAAATCACATCAAACTAAATTATAATAATTATAAATTAATTAATATACACTTGTAACGAGTTCATAAAAAATAAATTTAACCTGTTTTATGTAGGTCTTTTGTTTTTAGATACTGAAAGTTTCGTATTTGATTTGTTTAATATTGCCTCATTGAAAATAAATTTTTTAGGATTAATATTTCTAAACACTGGAAAATGCAATTTTTCACCAGCCATTTTACTCTGGTAATATTTTAACCAGTTGGGGTGAATAAATACTGCAATGAGTAAATTATTATTTTTTTATCCCTAGTATTGCTATCCGTATGCATTTACTGTTCTTTCTATGGAAAAATCTAACTCTATATACTAGCATACCTTGAGGATATTTTAGAGAGAAAAAAAAAAATCAGCATAACAGGCCTCATTTATTTTCCCCCACGCTGCTGGTAAGTGCTCAGCAAAAAACCCCAAACACCCCGTTCTGTAAAATGACATGCGTACTGTATTTGCATTCGATTAACATGATGAACTTCTGCCATTATTATTATTATTTTTATTTAGCTCATCATGAACGAATTCAAAACATTTAACCATTTTATAAAATCCCAAAATAATTAGTCATTTTCCAGAACATTATAAACTGAGCTATAGACACAATAAATAATTATAAAACAATCTATATTAACAAATAAATAAACACTTAACAACTTTAGCTAAAATAGGATCTTCAGATCCTCATTGACCAGCAAACACACACACACACTATAATTAAAACAATTATCATAATATAACAGTTATGTACTGATTTCTTTATATATATATTATTTATGTAGCCTCTCTCTCTCTCTCTCTCTCTCTCTCTCTATATATATATATATATATATATATATATATATATATATATATATAGAGAGAGAGAGAGAGAGAGAGAGAGAGAGAGAGAGAGAGAGAGAGAGAGAGAGAGAGAGGCTACATAAATAATAAAAAATAAATAATAAAAAAAATACAATAAATAATTCAAACAGCTCACGGTCTTCAGTTACAAAAACAGAGCTTTAATAAAGAGACTAAAAAAACATCAACAGTAACTTGCTAGAAGCCGTGGTTTACAATGAATCATTATGATTTATTAAAAATAAAATTTAATAAAAGCAATTTGTGATTTAACAAAAAGTTTAATGATTGATTATGAATTTATAATAGGTTTAGGACCGTTGCTAGCTCCGACATGGAGTGGAATTGGTTGAGAAATGAAATTCACAGATATTCTGAGAATAATTTACAACAAATTCAAATGTGTATGGCTATATCTGGTGTTTGCCGTAAAAAAAAAAACATTTTTATATAAATAAAAAATGTTCATATAATTATTATGTTTTGGCAATAGCTAATTTGCTATATTAGATCTATTAAGTTAGGGTTTGCAAGCTATTATTTTACACACACACACACACACACATACACATACACATACATATATATATATATATATATATATATATATATATATATATATATATATATACATATATATACATACATACATATATGTATGTGTGTGTATTTAAGCAAGTGTAAATATTAACAAATCATTATTTACATTAAGTGCAAATAATTAATAGTAATGCTTTATGTCTAAAGAAACATAAAAATATTGTTAAATTTTCACCATTTCAAACAAGCTTATTTAAATTTAGACTAAATTAAATATATGGTCCACACCCAGCAGCAGCTCACCACAGTTGCATTGGCTGATGAGCAGAAAACATAGAAAGAAATCATGAAGTGGCTCTCACTCACCAACATCTTTTATCTGAGCCACAGCTTCTCCAGAATCCTGCTGACTGTGAACTGTACACCTGTATTCTCCTTCATCTTGAGCTGTCAGATTGTCCAGACGGAGGGAGAAGTTTCCATGTTGAATCTCCTCAGTAAAGAAATGAGCTCTATCATGATAATCCTGCTGCTGGACCTCTGGTCGACTCTCTCCATCTTGATACAGATGAACCAGAGTCTCTGAGTCTGCTCTTCTCCATTCCACCTCCAGATCCTCCACTGGTAAAGCTTCATCAACAAAACAGGGCAAAACCACTGAAGATCCCAGAGGAGCAGACAAAGGAGCAGAGGGACCGTGAACAGTGAAGCCTGTAAAGAAAGAAAATCTGATTAATGTGCTCATAGGATAAAACGAGACAGGAAATCATTAACTATTTTTGATTATCATCTTAAAACAACAAGAACATGAATAAAAAGTAATCATTTATACCATCGGTGACCATTAAAACCATTGAAATCAAAATACAGGCAAGAAGGTCCATCGTGAATTACTAATTAAATTAATAAATCATGTCATAAATTATCTTGACAACATGAGCCCTTTTCAACGAGGTATAACGGTCAAAAAAACTTTCACTTTCGTTTTTTAGGTTGAAGTGTGTGCGTGTGTGTGTGTGTGTGTTTCAGACTGGTTTGAATTCAAAACCGTAAAACACGAATATATAGCATTAGCTGTTGAAAATGCTCTATAAAAATTGCTAATAAAAGTTATGCAAAACTGAGCCATCCGATAAGTAACAACTCCTTACATTTTAAAAACGACAGAAGACAATATTTATAGAAAACTGCAAATTTTCCCTGCATTTTTAAATTTATGGCTTTTCGTCAAAAGATTTTTTGAAATGCTAAATCATTGTAACGTTACAGGCAATCATGTTCAGTTTATCAATACAGAAGGTTTATTATATAATTTAAAAATTGAACAAGCAATAAACCAATAAAGTTACATGTTTTATGAACGTTACCCAGATAGCAAAATACACTCGGGCCAGTTCCGGCTAGATTGTCGCCTGCCGAAGACTTACCCCTCGGCCCAACTTCGGCTGCCGGACTCGGGCCGGATGCCTGTGGACTCACTGCCCGATTCCGGCCCGAATCAAGCGGGCCAGATGCGGCGGCCGTAAGCGAGCCGACGCTGCGCATCCGCGCCGGAATCGGCGCGAGGGTAATGTGCGCTGCGGCCCGGAGCTGGCGCGACTCCGTATTTATACACCTTATAAAACCTTTTGGTATTACATTGGTACTTAATATATGGTATTACAACCATTTGAATTTATACAACAGCAAACACAGGCTATAATGTAAACACAAAGTGTAAGCACTGTGTTTAACCTTTGAATAAAGTGCAAACTGCATACACATTCTGTAACGAAAATAATCAGACAAATGACAAAATAAATAAATGTTAAACGTTTATTAATTGCAAGAAAAAAATAGTACTAAAATTTTATAAATAATTTTGTAGTGCACAAGAATATCAATATAAAAACAACAATAAAACAACACATTAAAGACACACAGAAAGATTTAAACAAAAAATCTAAAAATTACACACAAACACAGATGTTTTTAAAACAACCCTGTTTTCCCAATAGACTTAAATTAAAAATTTGTACAAACAGCTAAATTTTATATAAACCTAAATATAGAAACCAATTTAAGATATAGCAAGAAACATCTTAAAAATACCAATGACAATCCGTAAAATATCCAAGTCAAACTTGTAAAAAGTACTGCAGAATTCTGAAGAAACATCTTGAAACATTTTTTAATAAAACATTAAAATAAATAATAATAATAATAAACAAACAAACAAATATATATATATATATATATATATATATATATATATATATATATATATATATATATATATATATATATAAATAATTGCAGAAGTATAAAGTCAAACTTATTTTTAAATAAACTTGAACAAAATCAATTGCACAAACAGCAAGACATGAGTGAGATGATTATACATTTCATATATATACACGTCTTGTGCAAGTTTATATTTATAATTTTATTTGTATTACGTTTATTAAAAATGTATCAAGATGTTTCTTCAGAATTTGGCGCACACACATACATACATACATACCATACATATATATACACACACACACACATATATACATATACATACATATATATATATATATATATATATATATATATAAATGCAAATGAAAGAAACAAATTGTTCAAGTATCAGGGAACATCCTAATACACTTAAAATGTTGTTTAAAAAATAAAACAAAATAGTGATGTAGACATTTGACATATTAGCTTTCTCTTCTTTCTTCCTCCATCCCTGTCAGGGGCAAGTTGTAGCTACCCTGTAATGCATTTTTCCTCTTCTTTATCAGTGGTGTGGTATGGACATTTGTCCTCACTCCATCTGTGATTAAAAGATAAACAGATAATTAGTAGTGAACAAGTACTAATGTAAAAAAAAAGAAAAAAGTAGGCTACCTACGAAGCAAAAAAAACAATAAAAAAAAACAAATAAACTTAACACTTTGAAATTAGCAAGAGCTTGAACTTACCAGTTTCTTCATTTGTTCAGGCTGCTCCTTTAGTTGATTTTCAAGCTTTTCCAAATCAAATTGGCCAAAGGAAGGTCAAATGTGTTTGCATCTGGAATTTCATCACGTCTGTTTTGGTTTTGTGAGAATCAGGCCCAGCTGCTGCTTTATGACGTTGCATGATTTTAAAACTTCAGTCAGTCGTGCTAAAAAAGAAAAACAACAGATTAGTATAAATCAACCTGTAGCTTATTCTCATACAACTTCTGTAAATACAACAGTGGATTAGACACTGCTGATATTCTCTACTTGATCTTTACTTTCTAGCTGCATTAAACCTTAACAAATTTAGTGATATCTTCAATTCTTACAAAGACATCACGAGATGCAATAAGTTATGTCTTGATCTCAAACTGCACTAGAACAAAGACTGTAAATGTTCATAGGTGTACTGCAGGAGTGTCCAAACTTTTTGGGCCGAGGGCCAGATGGGCCCCCTAAATTATTAGCCACCGTTTATTTTTTCCCCAATTTCTGTTTAACGGAGAGTTAAACATTTTTTTCCACACATTTCTAAACATATTAGTTTTAGTAACTCATTTCTAATAACTGATTTATTTTATCTTTGCCATGATGACAGTAAATAATATTTGACTAGATATTTTTAAGACACTTCTATACAGCTTAAAGTGACATTTAAAGGCTTAACTAGGTTAATCAAGTTAACTAGTCAAGGTAATTAGGCAAGTTATTTTATAACAATGGTTTGTTCTGAAGACTTAAGGGGCTAATAATTTTGACCTTAAAATGGTTCATAAAAAAATTTAAACCGCTTTTTATTCTAGCCGAAATAAATCATAAGTCTTTTTCCAACATCATTTGGGAAATATTTAAAAAAGAAGAAATAAATCAATGAGGGGCTAATAATTCAGACTTCAACTGTGTGTAGACAGACAGACAGACAGACAGACAGACAGACAGACAGACAGATAGATAGATAGATAGATCATAACAAGAACTGCTGCTTAATTGAATGCATGTAATAGCGACACCCGGTGGTTATTTATTGAATTACGTTCATTTTTGTATAGCGGGCCAGATTCTATTGATATTTATAAAAAGCCTGGCCCGCAGGCCGTAGTTTGGACACGCCTGGTGTACTGGAATGTACAGTATCTGTGCATCTTCATGGTGGTCTTAAGATTTCTGCCATAGTCATTGATGGTGATGGTACTTGTGGTGCTGCATTGATTTCTGAAATCTTCATACCTGCCTTTTATCCAGCCTCTTTGTTCCAAGTAATTTTTCTTCATCACGGTATAGATGCGTCTATACTGTCCCTTGATCAAATACATTTACAAAACAAAACATCACTTTAGTATAGTGCCAGGGCAAAACTCACAGGTTGTAATAGATCAATGACAATGTTGACAGTATGTGTTTAAAATAATTGCAAACAAACCTGTTCTGTCTTGAGATGTATGACAGGCAATCATCGTCCTCATCTGTCTACCAGTCAGAAATCACAGTTGCATGTGGATGTTTTAGTCGAGCTTCCTCATATGCATCTATAATAAAACATCACATTGTTGTTAACCTCCCGTAAAGAAAAGTTCAAATCCTGAAATACTATCAAAGTTAATTAATGCATATAATACCTATAGTGTAAATAATCAGTACACAGGTTGCACAAGATTTATTCGGAGATTCATGCAGAGTGACAGCCTTATGAATCTGAGACATAGATTTGTAAGATGGCCAAGCACATGCATTATTCTGTACCCATGAAGATTAACCTACCATTGTGAAAAATGGTTGATGATGATAGCCAATAACAATAAACCATTTCAGCTGTTTGTGAAGCAATTAGTAATGTAATGTCTGAAAAGCTCAATCTATGTTGAAAATGTATCAGCAGTTTACAGCTTATAATGGACTTTTAGCACACAACTATAACATGCCTATTCACGTTTAAAAGAGTGTGCCATTGACTTCTTTGGTCGTGATGTGCTGCAAAATGATCTCACTAACCTTTGTTAAACAAGACCAATAAGACTTAACCAACAAATATTGTTACCCATTCATTTAAATCAGAATTTATCACTGTCAATAACATAAAAAACAAACAAAAAAAACATCAAAATCTGCTTTAAGACGTCCAGTTTTACATTAACTGACCATTACAGCTTGAACAAAAGATATAATTGATTCACATAGGCTAACACATATGAATTAAAGTGCATAGTAATATATTTCTCTTGGATAATTTAAAGAGAATAGTAAACAGTAGAGTTTCGATCACTTTTCGTGACTAACTGCATAAACAAGATAAACAATAATATTTTATTAATCCAAAACGATTAGTTTTTATTTACACAATCACAGAATTAATACTGTTGGAGAAGTATACGCCTGTACAATGATTTTTTCAACATCCACGGTACTTTATAATGTTAAATCAGGATAAAAACACGTTTTGCCATGTTAGTTAATGGATTCGTCTACAGAAACTTTCTTTAACGCAAAGTTAGCATACACACAAACTCGTTTCATGTTTCTTTAAAATAATTAAAATACTTTTCAGTTACTACACACGTTACAATCTAACATTGTGTTAAAGGAAAATGAACTTTCAGACGTGTTTGTAACTGTTAGCGTTAGCATACATTGGCTCCACTCGTGTTTCTTAAAGCAAGTTACATTTCGTATCAAACTGTTTTAAATTACTAAACGCTGTTACAACCAAACACCGTGGAAATGTTTTAAGCTCTAAATTCGCTAATTATACAGTACACAAGCAGTAAAAAGCTTACCTTTCTGACCGGCATCCACGTGAAGTCTTTAAAAAAACCAAACTTTTTCTTCTTGTGATCTTCGTGCCATGGTGGTTGACAACCAGCTTTTTGGAGCATTACCGCCACCGTCTGGATTGGAGGGTTGATCATGAGTTTAGT